TTAGCTTCACTGGGGAATGGGCTGGAAATGCAGAACATAGGCAGGTGTGGTGGGGCATGCCTGTAATCCCAGCAGCTCTGGAGGCTGAGGTAGGAGGATCACAGTTTCGAGGCCAGCCTCAGCAACTTAGTGAGGCTTTAAACAATCTAGTGAGACCCTGTCTCAAAATAAAAAATAAAAAGGGCTGGGGATGTGGCTCAGTGGTTAATCCCTGGTACCAAAAAAAAAAAAAAAAAGAAAGAAAAAAATGAAAAGAAAAAAAGCAGAACATAAGGCACTTACACATAACAAGCTTTAACAAGTTCCCCAGAATATTCAGGATATCACGATGGGAAGTTCTCCCTCAAAAGTATGGCTTGGGTGGAGGTCGGAGCAGTGAAGTACTATTTGCAGGGGGAAAAAAAAAGTGTGATGTTGGGCAAACAAAACAGAAGCTGTCCACTAAAATTATGGTGTGTCTACACAACAGAATGCTGCTGGCCACCCATCCTGCCCTGTGTAGGCCAGGAGCTGCAAACTCAAATGCTTGCGAGGGCTATGAGTGAGTGAATTAGTGTCTTAGTTTCCTATTACTTAGTGGAACAGATGTTCACAAACTCTGACTTAAAACAATATGAATTAATTATTTTACAGTCCTGGAGTTCGGAAGTTTGAAATATGTCTCACTTGGCTGAAATCTGGGGGTTGGCAGAGCTATGCTCCTCCTGTAGACGTGGGAGAACAGGTCCCCTAGCCTTTTCCAGGTGTTCACATTCTTTGGCTTGTGGCTGCATCACTGCAACCTCATCTTCTATCACCACATCTCCCGATTCCCGATTCCCTTTGATCAGTACCCTTGGGACTATATTGGGCCACCCATATACTCCAGAATAACCCCCCACTTCAAGATCACTAGTTGCAAGGTCCCTTTTGCCATGTAAAGTAACATATTGATAGGTATGGTGAAACCAGGTATCAGGGCTTTGGTATCTTTAGGAGGCCATTATTCTGTCTACCACAATCTTGAACGTGACGTGAAGCCAAAGGGAGAGGCCTGTGGGGGAACTGGAGAGTGAAGGCCTTATCTAAAGGGGGCAGCTGTTACCCACATCCCTAACTGAGCAGCTCACATGGGAGTGTAGACCTAGTAGGTCAGGTCTTCCAAATTTTCAAAGAAAACTAGGAATGTAAATTTTTAATGTGAAATATCTCGATGTTTAGCCTTAGAAAGCATAGAAGGGAAAACAGTAACGACAAACCCCCCACAACTCTGCGGGGACAATCAGAGCCTGTGAGCTGGCCAGATGCTCGGGTGGCAGCTGCAGCCTCTGATCTGGAGTTTCCTCACCGGGACAGCAGGGGCATCACTGACCTATCCTGTGTCGGTGGGAGGAATGAGTGGCCTACGGGAAGCCCAGGCCTCCCAGGCCCCCAGGGCAGGGTGGGCATTTCCCCTCTGTTTACTGCCCATGGTCTTCCCTTTATAATTTCTCCCTCTGACCTCTACCCAAGTCCCCTCAAACTCCACCCTGTCCTTCCTCCAGGATGGAATGTCCCAGGCCACATGTGGCACAGTCTCCCTCTAGGACTCAGTTCACGCACAGTGTGTAGCTTTTCTCCTTGACCCTAACGGGAGGAGGGAAGCTACCATCAGGGGAGACCTGTCAGGGCTGGGACATCTGCTCTGCTAGATGCTGCATAGTATGTAAACACTCAAGCCCCTGCTGCCCCCCACCACCCCATTATGTCAGCTGGGTCTTCACAGTCTCAATGGTTGTGTGATCAGGAAAACAGAAGCTGCTGTAGGTGTTCTGAGCAGGAAGAGATTTAATACAGGGAATCAGACTTACAGAGGGCTGGAAGGCTGGGGAGGCAAGGGCAGGAAGCCATTTTCAGGACATCTGGAAATGCTGGGATTTATGGGGGAGCCTCCACCAGTGTCCTGCCTATAGCCCAGAACTGGATGCTTCTTATCTGGAGAAACCCAGCTGTACAGATGCCCACACACTTGCCACGGGCCCTGCATCCCTGCTTTGTGTGCTTGTGCAAGAAGCTGGCTCCTAATCTGAACTGGATTCTAATATCCAGTGTGACCTTAGGCAGATCCCTTTCCCTTTCTGGGTCATAGTCTTCTCAGCTATAAAATGGGGTACAGAAGGAGAAAAGAGGAAGATAGGTAGAAAGAGAACAGAGTTTGTAGCCAACACGCAGGGCTGGTTTTGTTTGACAACCTTCAGACTTTGGTCATTTTTAGATGGTGTCAGCTTCCCTCAGGGGCTGAGGAAACAAACATACATTTAGGTTTGGTTTTAAATTCATCTTTACTTTTCGATGCCCAATTCCCTGCAAATCTAGCCAAGTGCATAGTGCTGTGTGATCTTTTTCCATCTTCAGTTCAAATACAGATAATGAGTATACTCAGTGTACAATAAATAGGACAGTTCACGTGTTGTTTTTGTTTTTGTTTTTTTTTTAATCTGGCTGATCTGTTCCTCATTCTCAGAGCTGGAATTTTCTTCAGCGATTTCCTAGACATATAAGGTTCTAAAATGCTGAGGAAGAGAAGTAGTTTCCCTTCCCCCATCAGCCTAGTGTAAACACACCCCTGCTACACTGACTTGTTATCTCACTCTTTCCCCTTCAAGCTTTCTATTCAAACACCCACAGTGGCTCCAGCCCCAATATCCATTACAGAGGTTCTGATTTTTTTTCTCCCTAATTAAAAAGCTGAATCCAACACATTCCTGAAAAGTAGTCAACACTCTGCATCCCATGGAGTCCTAGAATCCCCAAAGACCACTTAGGCCAGCGCTTCCCAAATATGGTTGCACATCAGATGCACATAGGGAGTTTTTTTTAAATTCCCAGGCTCTAACCCATACCTAATAATGGCTGAGGGCAGGGCCAGGTGATGGTTATCCTTTTTTAAAGCTCCCCATGCTATTCGAATGCACAGCTAAACTTGGGAGCCACTTATATAGTCCAGTCCCTATGTGATACTCCCTTCCACAGGCTTCTGCCAAATGGCTTCCTACCCCTCTTTGTCCTCCTCCAGCGATGAAGGGCTCCTTTCCTTTCAAGGCAGCCCTCCTGTCCTTAGCCAGCTCTGCTCCACCAGGAAGTTTTCTCTCTGCTTCACTGTAACTCCCCCTCACTGATCTGGTTTTGCCTTCTAGGATCCCACAAATCCTGTCTGGTTTTGTCCTTCAGAGAGGGTACATCTTGTCCCTCGAGTTGTGAAGGCCAACACCCCAGGTTCTTCTGCTGTTCCTCACAGACACAGCCCCCAGCCTTCCACCGTGGGGGCCACTTCCTGTCTGCCACTGGCCTCTCAGGTCTGCTGCTTTCCAATGCAGTCTGACCACCACAGGATCCATGCTTGACTTGTCATGAACTCACCACCGTCCATCAATAAAGCCTGTCAATGATTGTCCAACTAATCATTAAGTCAATTGACCCCGGAGTGCCATCCGTGCCAAGTGCCCGAGGGGTGTTGACTGTCCATGTCCTATGGGGAAGACAGAAAGGGCTCTGCAAGAGGGTGACATGATTGCTGGGGACCCTCCCCACAAAGGCATGGATATCAAGGTGACAAGATACAAAACATAGGGCCTTAATGAAGGGCTCAGTTCTGCAGCAAGCGCTGTGAACATCCTGAGGAGGATATGGAAATAAGGATTCCAGAGTGATGTGGCTTAATGAAAGAACTGTGGGAGTTAGGTTCAGCGGGAAAATGTCCTGAGCACTCTAAACACTGTATGTGGAGTCATGGGGATTTAAAACAGGGAATTGGTGGAAGGACCAGAGGAAGACCAGGACTGACTCCCAGAACACCTTGGAGGAGACCTGCTAAATCCTCATTACTATCTGAGGCTCCCTGGGGTTATTTGAGCAAGGTACACTCCTGACTCAACCCAGGGGTCAAAGAGCTGAAGCCACAGCTGCCACTCCAGAAACCCAGGGAAAAGACAGGAATTCTTCTGCAGAAAATCCTTACCTTTCTAACATTCTGTGAGTGATGCCCTGAAAGGGCAGGACAATACCCTGCCTGCTCCCCATCCAGCAGTACTGATTGGCAGCCCCTAGTCCACATCCAGAACTCTGAGGAGGTGGCTGAGAAACGCAACTGTTAGCTTTCTGACCTCTCCACCCAGAAGGTGGGTGTATGGCTGTGGAGTGAGAGGCGCTCAGGTTGCCCGTCTTAGCATCCTTTACAGCACTAAGATGGAGAGCAACAGGCTTCAGAAACTTCACCCCTCCAGCGGAACTATATGCCACCTAGCAGAGGATGATGTCATCCGTATCAAGTGACAGGACAAAAGTTCTTGATATAATGCTAAGATTGTTTTAAGCATTAGAATTCACTATATGATTTGATTTTTATTAAAATAATTGCTTTTAAAGATGCAGAGGGAGAAAGACTGGCAAGATGAACCCACCCAACCTTAAGAATGGCTACCTTTGGGTGAAAGGATTACAGGTGATTTCTTTCTTCTTTCATCCTTTTCTGTGTTTCCCAAGTTTTCTACAACCATGTGTGTGTGGTCTTGGGACAAAGAAAATCGACGTTTAAAAAATGCGCAAATATAAAATCTCAAAGGAACCGGGGGGAAAGGGTAAAGAAAATGGAAGTCGCAGTCGCAGTCAGAAATCGGTGAACCCAGGGGGGCGGGGGGAAACAGGGGAGAGGCGAGGCAGAGGAGTGTTAAGGAGAGGCTCGGGGTCGCCATCTAGCCAAGTGCACAGTGCTGGGTGACCTGGGGACGCCCCTCTCTCTCCAAGCTCTATCTTCCCTACCAGATGAGCACTTTGGGAACTGAGACGTGACAACGTGGCCGCCAACCCCCCGGAGAAGGAGCTAGGGAGCGCTGGAGTTGTGCGAGCTTCTCGGGGAAGCGAGGCTGGGAAAGGCGGGGCGCAGGCTCCTGGGCGGAGCGGCCCCTGCCCAAGGCGAGCGCCTGGGGCGCAGGAGGAGCCTGTTTGCGGTGGAGCGCCATAGGCCGCCGAGCGGGGGCGTGGAGGCGGGGTCTGCAGCGCGTCCCGGAGGGGCGAGGTACCGGACTTTGGAGAGAGGTCTCATCTGAACCCGGAATTGGTCCTGAACCGGATCCCGAGCCTGTTGCAGGTAGTAAAGCCCTTCCTCCCTCGGCGCCCCGGGGAAACCGCAGCTCCCTGCACCAGGGCTTCCCATCTTCGGCGGCCTTTCTGCTTGGCGCTCACTGCAGGACCCACTTCCCGCCCTCTCTCACTCTCCTCAGTCTCCGGTTGGCGCCGAACCGGAGGACACCGACCTTCCAAACCTTCCCTGTCACTACGACCCCAACACTCCCGCCCACCAGGCTTACTCCAGCACTGGTCCTCTGGCCGGAGCCCAGAAACTGGGACGCGCCCCACCCCCTTCCTCTAGAAGGACTGAGTTAAGTGCTGCCACTGTCCCAGGAAGTCTGGCCCTTAGCTCCGTGGGCGCTTATATAGGGTGACCTATAAGAAAACCCCTGCCTGTACTGGAGGAAATGCATAGCTAGTCCTGCTCTGTGTCCTCAGTGAGTCCCTGAACCTCTCTGATACCCAGCCTTCTTCCAGTATGGGGATCAACATCTGCCGGGATCGCCAAGGAGGTTCAGGGAGGCTTGATGAATTTACAATGAGGAGATGGGCTGGAAACTGTAAAATGAGCTGCACCTGTGAATAGTGAGCTTCCTATTTGGATCTGGAGTCAACTGGCATAGACTCCATCTAGGACCCCGGCATGGGAATAGCCTTGGTGTGGGCAAGAAGTAGTTTGCCAGCCTGCTTAGTATCTCCAAGACCTCCTAGGATGATCCCCCTTTCCTCCCCCTCCCCCTGGGATTCTCCCCTCCCACTGTTGCAAGTTTGCTTCTGTCTCAGCCTGTGGCAGAGCTCAGGGCCCAGGAACTTAGGTGCACCCCTGATAAGTGTGCTGGCTGCTCAGCTGGCCCCCTTCCCACCCCACCAGGGAGGGCTTGCCGGGTGGGCATTGTTTTTTATGGGTTTGGGGACCTGGCTGGAGCCTTGCTTTCCTGAATGAGTTCTTTGTTCCTTGCAGCTGTCAGTGGTGGAGATGGAGCCCGGTGGGGGTCAGGGGATTGCTCAATTGCTTCAACTTATCTAGGAACTTTAGACTCTGTTTAATGTTTATTTAGTGACTCTTATATGCTGCTTAACTTTTACTGAAGTAGTTGTTTTAATAAAGTCTACCTTGTTTTCACTGAAGTAGTTGTTTTAATAAAGTCTACCTTGTTTTCAGAGTCATAGCCCAGAATACCCAGACTCTTCTTCCCAGCTGCTGCTTAACTGGCAGCACCCTTGGGCAAACTGAGGCTCCGACTGAGACCTGTGCTTGGGGGTTGGGCTAGGTTGGTTTTGGAGGCACTGACAGCTCTGATGTCCTGGGTGGAGTGTGTCTGACTGTCTTGTATGCAAGACCCAATTCCATATAACCTCATGGGGCATTTCACATATGAGGTGACATATGAGGTGACATGCAGCAAGTCACTCCCAGAAGGCAAATGTCTCCAAGTTCCTTTCGTTTCTACTAAAGTCTGAGGTCAAATCTTCAATGGCTTTTGTGGGAATCCCCCTGTGTCCTCAGTATATCACTCAGTGACCATCTGTTGAGCAGCTGTTCTGTAGAAAGCATAATTCTAGAAATCAGGGACCCAGCCATGAATGGAACAATAACAAGCCCAAAGCCGTGCCCTCTTTTTGCTTTAATAAGTACATTTTAATAGTTTGATGAGCTCTTTCAACTATGCCTTGTCCCTGTGGATTGTATGGGATTCCTGTTATATGAGTAATGCCAAATGTTGAGCAAAATTGTTTAAAAGAGGTAGAAGTATAACCAGGGGCATTATCTGTTTTTAACTGTTTTGGAACACCCACAGTGGCAAAATTTTGTAAGCAATGAGCTATAACATCTTTAGTTTTTTCTCCGGCATGAAGGGAGCCCATCAAAAATCCAGAAGAAGTATCAACTGTAACATGCAAATATTTTAATTTTCCAAATTCTGGCAAGTGTGTGACGTCCATCTGCCAAATATGGTTAGGTATCAATCCTCTAGGATTGACTCCAAGATTAACTTGTGGTAAAAAGGTCACACAATTTTGACATTGTTTTATTATTTGTCTAGCTTGTTCCTTAGTTATTTTAAAACGCTTTTGTAAAGTATTAGCATTGACATGGACCCTTTTATGAAAATTTATAGCTTCTTCTAGTGTAGAGAAAATATGTATGTCATGTGTAGTTTTATCTGCTAAATCATTGCCCAAACTAAGGGCTCCAGGCAATCCTGTATGTGCCCTGATATGTCCTATAAAGAATGGATCTTTTCTGTCCCAGATTAGACTTTGTATAGTGGAAAGCAAAGAGAAAACAGTAGAGGAAGGGGAAATCCTACCAGCATCTTCAAGAGATACTATAGCGTTAACTATATACTGACTGTCGGAAAATAAATTAAATACAGAATCTTTAAACATCACAAAAGGTTGTAATACTGCATTAAGCTCTACCTTTTGAGCTGATTGTTTGGGTACTAAAAATGTAAAAGTTTGATCAGGTGTAACTATTGCTGCTGTACCATTATTTGACCCATCAGTGAATATATTTGGAGCATTCATGATAGGTGTTTTTCTTGTCATTTTTGGAAAAATTACAGGATGCAATGACCAAAAAGACAATAAAGGATTAGATGGTAAGTGGTTATCAAATGAAACATTAGATTTGCACATGATTATTGCCCAAGTATTTAACTCATTAGCTAACTCATCAATTTGATTCATAGTATATGGAGTAATAATTTTATTGGGAGAAATTCCAAACACTCCCTTTGCTGCTTTTATTCCTTTGAGTATTAATTGTCCTACAGCCTCAGGATACCTAGTAAGAATAGTGTTAGGAGAATAAGATAAATGTATCCATAATAATGGACCTTCTTGCTAAAATACTCCTGTAGGAATATTTTTTGTTGGTAGTACAATAAATAATAAAGGCAAACTTATATCAATTCTATCCAAATGCATATTTTCCATATATGTTTCAATGATTTTTAATGCCTTTCTTGCTTCAGGCGTTAACATTCAGGGTGAATTTGGATCTGATGGACCTTTTAGGATATCAAATAAAGGTCCCAACTCTCCTGTTGGTATACCTAAATAAGGCCTTATCCAATTTATGTCTCCTAATAACTTTTGAAAGTCATTAAGTGATTTGAGTTGATCTACTCGTATTTGAATTTGTGGTGGACGGACCATGGTTGAGGATAATAGAACTCCTAAATAATTAATTGGAAAATTTAATTGTACTTTATCTATTGCTATCTCTAGATTATAATTTTTTAATAAGTTTGTAAGTGTGGCATAACATTCTAGCAATGTGTTTTTAGCTTTGTGTGCTAATAATACATCATCCATATAGTGAAATATTTGTAGTTCAGGATTTTGATTTCTAAGTGGCTGGATTACTTTGTTAACATAAATTTGACACATAGTTGGGCTGTTAGCCATCCCTTGAGGGAGTACTTTCCATTCATATCTCTGATCAGGACCTTCATGATTCAGTGCAGGGATAGTAAATGCAAAACGTGGACTATCCTCAGGATGAATTGGAATTGAAAAAAAAACAATCTTTAATATCTATAACTAAAACATACCAGGTTTTTGTCAAAGCAGACAACTGAGGAATCCCTGATTGAGCAGGTCCCATAATAACCATCTCATTATTAATGGCTCTTAAATCTTGCACTAATCTCCATTTACCAGATTTCTTTTTGATGACAAAAATGGGAGTATTATGGGGAGATACAGAAGGTTGTATATGTCCTTCCGCTAATTGTTGTTTGACCAGGTCATGGGCTTCTTGTATCTTTTCTTTAGTCAGGGGCCACTGAGGAACCCATACTGGTCTTTCTGATTTCCAAGTAATTTTTATTGTCTCAGTGGCCCTTTCTGAAAATCCAACCCATGTCTGTCTGTTCCTTGATCTATTTGTATTGGTGCTGCTATACCTTGTTCTTGTTTTTCTAATCTTTTTCCTTTCCTAAAACCTTGTCTAGTCATAATAGTGGGTGCATTTTGGTTGATGTTATTTGTTAATGTCAAACCTAATTGATCTAGGACATCTCGTCCCCATAAATTTACGGGAAGATGATCCAATACATATGGCTGTATAGTTCCTTCACATCCTTCAGGATCCTTCCAATCTAATACCATTGCACTTCTATGGGGATTAGTCGCCACTCCTAGGCCTCGAAGCGTTTGAGTGGCTTGTTGTAATGGCCAATGTTTTGGCCATTCTTGACGAGAGATGATGCTAAGGTCTGCACCTGTATTCAGTAGTCCATTAAATTCATGTCCTTGAATATTTAGTTTTAGCATGGGGCGAGAATCTAAATTTAAAGAAAGCATAGAACAATCTACACCTGTGGAGCCTAATCCCTTGGAACCTCTTTCTACAGTACGACTGGAAAATTTATCATGTAGGCTGGGTATTATTAGTAACTGTGCTATTCTATCTCCTGGTGAAATTACTGATATACCCTTTGGAGAACTGGCTATAATTTTTATTTCACCTTCATAATCGGGATCAATTACCCCAGGACTTATCATAAGTCCTTTTAGAGTAGAAGAGCTGTGTCCCAATAATAAGCCTACTCTTCCTTTGGGAAGAGGTCCTTTCACCCCTGTGGGAATGATTTGAACTCCCATCTCTGGAGTTAGTACTGCTCTGGCGGAGGCGCAGATGTCCAACCCTGCGCTCCCTCTGGTTTGTCTGATGAGGGATCTGATGGACAATGTGTCCTGGGCACTACCCTGATGGGGTTGCTGGGTTCCTCCAGTGCTCCGTATATTTGTGGTTTTGGGCCCCGGAGCATTGGGCCCCCCTGTCCATTTTTTGGCAATGGAGCCCGATGCCTTTCTCCACGATATCATGGATAAACACCTGGTCCTTGTTCGTTTTTTGATAATGGAGTACCCTCTATGGTGGTTTGAGAACGGCATTCATTAGCCCAATGTCTCCCTCTACGGCATCGTGGGCAAATACCTGGTATTCTACTCCTTTGATACCTAGTTTTGTTAAATCCTCCTCATATGGGGCAATTCCTTTTAAAATGTCCTGTTTGTTCACAATTGTAGCATGTTCTTGGCCTGGCATCTAAAGCCTGTTTTACTGCAGCTGCCACAATTTTCCCTTGTTCATTAATGTCTCTGGCATCTAAAGCCTGTTTTACTGCAGCTGCCATGACTTGCTCTTGTTCATTAATGTCTCTACATAATTTAATATATGTGTTTAAATCTTCATGTTTCCATGGTCTAATGATATCTCTGCACCAACGATTCGCTTGCTCATAAGCCAGTTGTTTTAGTAATGGCATTGCTTGTTCTGTATTCCCAAAAACTCTGGTAGCTGTTTGAATAAGCCTATCTACAAATTCAGCATAAGGTTCATTAGCTCCTTGTATTACCTTAGATAATTGACCTTGTAAACCTCCATGTCCTTGTAAAGTCTTCCATGCCTTAATTGCATCTACAGCAATTTGTGCATATACACCAGGATCATATGCAATTTGTTGCTGCTGATCCTCATAAGGTCCCTTTCCTAACAACATATCTAGATTTCTCTGAGGATAACCAGCTGCTGCATTTCGCCTAGCCGTCTCCTTGCAAAATTCCTCATTGGCAACCTTCCATAACAGGTATTGTCCTCCATTTAGCACAGCTTTACACATATTAGCCCAATCTGCTGGCGTCATGTTCAAGTTGTTAATGGATTCGACCATGCTTACAGTGAAGGGTGCTTGAGGACCATAGGTTGTTACAGCCTCTTTTAGCTGCTTCACTGTTTTGAAATTTAAAACATGGTAAACTCGCTGCCCTCCTGCCTCAAATACAGGGCATGTTAATATTTGAGATCTTGTCTCAGGATCCCAACTATCAACTGCAGGGGTTGGGGGCCTCCCAGCCTATGGAGGTGGCCTTGTTAGTTGGACATTTACGTCCTCTGGTGATAGAAAGGTGTTAGTAGCAGTCTCCTGTTGTAACTTTCCCCCTGATGGCTTTTTCTGTTTTACACTTTCTTTCTCTGTCTGACTAGCTTGAGAGGCCTTCTCTTTTACTTGAATTTTTTCCTCTGTCTGACTAGTTCGAAAGACCTTCTCTTTTACTTGAATTTTTTCCTCTATCTGACTAGCTCGAGAGACCTTCTCTTTTACTTGAATCTTTTCCTCTGTCTGACTAACTGGAGAGACCTTCTCTTTTACTTGAATCAATATGTCTTCTCCTTCCTCTACCTTTGTCTGAACTGAAGGTTTTGGACTAAGCAAACAAGATACCAACGTCCACAATGGCAATGTGCCAACTGGCAGAGTCCCTGGGCTTTTCTTTTCTATTCTTTTTAAATCTTCACCATGATGGTTCCATTGTGATGTATTTAACAACTCCTCCTTAAAAAGCCATGGGATACATTTTTGTATTGTATCAACGTATGCCCTGACTGCTCTTGATTTTACTGGGATGCCTCCTTCCTCTAACAATTTACTTAACACTCTTTCGGTTTGTTTTTTACTAATTTCTGATCCCATATTTCTACTATAATACAACCCAACAAGATAACACCAAACAAAACCGAGATAGAATGAAATAAAAATGGAACAAAAAATCATTATAACCTTTCTCCCTATCTGTTCCTCAGACGCAAATAGTTTTTCCTCAGATGTGAGCGGTTTTTCTTCCGTCTCACTCATCTCCAGGGACAGGCAACTTAAAACAAAAGTGAAGCCAAACAAAAGAAGAATCTTAAAATGGCTACCCATCCTCTCGCCCTGCCCTCAGGGGCGAGCAGTTTACCTTATCACTTACCCTCAGTCGCTCCCCATGCGAGCCACCAAATGCCGCAGTCTGTCTGGGCACAATCAGGAGCCACTTGTCAAACGAAACTAACTTTATTTTTAGAACCACACACGCCAAACAAAACAGCCTCTCAGGAAAAACCCTCAGAGCCCCAACTGCCACCACGGGCTTTCCACAAGCCTCTCTCTCCAACAACACACGCCTCTCTCCCCAACAAGCCTCTCTCCACCTCCCACAATCCTCCTGCTCTTGAGGCCGATTGGCTGGGTCACGTGGGCGGAGCCAAAAAAGTCCCCCAATGAGCAGCTCCGTGGTCTGAAAGGGCAGGGAACAGCCCAATGAGCATCACCGCAGAGGAGCCAATCAGCTAGATGTTGCTGGGGCCGCTGTGAGCCAATCATCAGCCGGCAGCTGGAAGTTTGCTGGCAGCTGGAAGTTTGCTGGGGCCCCTTCGGCTGTGGCTCTCAACACTTTAGTTTCTACTAAAGTCTGAGGTCAATTCTTCAATGGCTTTTGTGGGAATCCCCCTGTGTCCTCAGTATATCACTCAGTGACCATCTGTTGAGCAGCTGTTGTGTAGTAAGCATAATTCTAGAAATCAGGGACCCAGCCATGAATGGAACAGTAACAAGCCCAAAGCCCTGCCCTCGTGGTGAAGGTGAGACAAAATAATAATAATAACATTATGTATGTAAATATAGTGTTTGGTATGTGAGATGGAGAAATGCCAAGCAGGATGCAGGTATAGAGTGTGAGCTGGGAAGAGTCTCGGTTTTGTAAAGGCTGATCAGGGAAGGCCTTGCTAAGCAGATGATGGTATTTGGGCAGAAGAGGCAAGAGAGTGAATCAGAAGAGAGATAGGACATGATGGAACTGGACCAGAGTTTTTCAGGCCCTCGTCCCCCTTGGCAACCCATGTTTTCAGAGGCGATACCCCTTTATGTTATAATCAGAATATGTGAATTGGTGGACCTTTGGGGTGTCCCCTTTGCCCCCTCCCACCTGCTTACCCGGTTCCATCTGTCCCTCTCCAGAGTGGTCAGCATGCTGCGCTTCCTGGTTCCCCGGCTGCTTTGCCTCCAGGGCAGGACTGCCCGGTACTCCTCAGCAGCAGCCCTCCCAAGCCCAATCTCCAACCCAGACATCCGCTACAACCAGCTGTTCATCAACAACGAGTGGCAAGACGCAGTCAGCAAGAAGACCTTCCCCACGGTCAACCCCACCACAGGTGAGGTCATCGGGCACGTGGCTGAAGGGGACAGGGCAGATGTGGACAGGGCAGTGAAAGCAGCCCGTGAGGCCTTCCGCCTGGGTTCCCCGTGGCGCCGCATGGATGCGTCTGAGCGGGGCCGGCTGTTGAACCGCCTGGCGGACCTAGTGGAGCGGGATCGCGTCTACTTGGCCTCCCTGGAGACCTTGGACAACGGGAAGCCTTTCCAAGACTCTTACGCCTTGGACCTGGGTGAGCTCATCAAGGTGTACCGCTACTTTGCTGGCTGGGCCGACAAATGGCATGGGAAGACCATCCCCATGGATGGCGAGCACTTCTGCTTCACCCGGCACGAGCCTGTGGGCGTCTGTGGCCAGATAATACCGTGGAACTTCCCCTTGGTCATGCAGGGCTGGAAGCTGGCCCCGGCCCTGGCCACAGGCAACACCGTGGTCATGAAGGTTGCAGAGCAGACCCCCCTTTCTGCCCTGTACCTGGCCTCCCTCATCAAGGAGGCGGGCTTCCCCCCGGGGGTGGTGAACATCATCACGGGCTACGGCCCAACAGCAGGAGCGGCCATCGCCCAGCACATGGATGTTGACAAAGTTGCCTTCACTGGCTCCACGGAGGTGGGGCACCTGATCCAGAAGGCTGCCGGCGACTCCAACCTCAAGAGAGTCACCCTGGAGCTGGGTGGGAAGAGCCCCAGCATCGTGTTGGCCGATGCCGACATGGGTGACGCCGTGGACCAGTGTCACGAAGCCCTCTTCTTCAACATGGGCCAGTGCTGCTGCGCGGGGTCCCGGACCTTTGTCGAAGAATCCATCTACGATGAGTTTCTCGAGAGAACCGTGGAGAAGGCCAAGCAGAGGAAAGTTGGGAACCCCTTTGAGCTGGACACCCAGCAGGGGCCCCAGGTGGACAAGGAGCAGTTTGAACGAATCCTGGGCTACATCCGGCTGGGCCAGAAGGAGGGGGCAAAACTTCTTTGCGGTGGGGAGCGTTTTGGGGAGCGTGGTTTCTTCATCAAGCCTACGGTCTTTGGTGGGGTGCAGGATGACATGACGATTGCCAAGGAGGAGATCTTTGGGCCCGTGCAGCCCCTGTTCAAGTTCAAGAAGATCGAAGAGGTGATTGAGAGGGCCAACAACACCAGGTATGGCCTGGCTGCTGCCGTGTTCACCAGGGACCTGGACAAGGCCATGTACTTCACCCAGGCCCTGCAGGCTGGGACGGTGTGGGTGAACACCTACAACATCATCACCTGCCACACGCCCTTCGGAGGCTTTAAGGAATCTGGCAATGGTAGGGAGCTGGGGGAGGATGGGCTTAGAGCCTACACGGAGGTGAAGACTGTCACCATCAAGGTTCCCCAGAAAAACTCATGACAATGCTCACCTCCAGACCCAGCCGAGCCCAGCCCAGCCATGCCACAGCTGTCTAGACTGGGCGCTTGCTTCCAATTTTTTTTTTTTTTTTGGCCCTGGATTCCCTTTATTTGTTCCAAATGAACTGTTAGAAGGAACTCCAACAAATAAAACAACTAAATCAGAGCTGTTCCTTTTAAAGCAGGCTGGAGGCTGGGTTCCACGTCCTTTGCCTCTGCTCCTCAGCCCCTGCACTCTTGGTGGCCCTTGCGTTACTTCTGTGAACCCTTAGGAGTCTCTGGAAGACATTAAAGCCACTCATTGGGTGGACAGTCACTTTTGGTCATTCCTGCTGATCCAGGGACTTTCTGGTAGATGAATCGGTGGATTTGAAAATGGTCTCGTCTCAGAGGATTTGAAGACAATAAGAGTTTTGACCTAGGTGGACAACAAATCTTGGCCCTGTTTTTCATTGACTGAATCTCAAAATGAGGACTTTTTCTTTTCTAAGTTCCAATCCCTGGCTGCTTTGCTTGCTCTTCATTTTATTACTGATTTTCCTTCATGTGAGGAAAAGGGTAGGTGAGGAATGCATTTCTATATAATCACACCTTTAAACTAAACTTGAACACCCCCAATGCCCATTAACTGATGAGTGGATGAACAAAAGGTTTCCATTCCTTTAACTATTCTCCAAACAAAGGAATGAGTGCCAGGCTCGGTGGCACACTCCTGTAATCCCAGCTGCTCTGGAGGCTGAGGCAGGAGGATTGCAAGTGCAAGGTCAGCCTGGGCAACTCGGTGAGACCCTGCTTCAATGGGATATAGCTCAGCAGCAGAGCACTTTCCTTGCACATGCTAGGCTCTGGGTTCAATCCCCAATACTGCCCCCTCCCCCTCCAAATGAATTTCTGATACATGCTACAATATAAGTGAACCTTGAAAACATCATGCCGAGTATAAGAGGCCAGACGTGCAAGATAACATGTTATATGATTCCATTTATATGAAGTGTCCAGACCAGGCAAATCCCTATAGATAGAAAGCAGATTAGTGGTTGGATGGGGCTGGGGGAGGAGGGTTGGGCACTAATTGCTTGTGGATATGGGATATCTTTTTGGGAGGATTTGAAAATGTTCTGGAATTAGAAAGTGGTAATAATTGCATAATTTTGAACATGTACTAAAAACAACTGAATTGTACACTTGGTGATATGTTTAATTCCATTTAAAAATTAAAATACACATTCTATTTGCAAATCCTGTGTGTATTCGTGTGTGTGTGTGTGTGTGTGTGTGTGTTTGTATGTATGTGGATGGATAGATAGATAGACAGACAGATAGATAGATAGATAGCTGTTGAATATTTTAGAGTCCTGGGGCCAGAAGGGACCCAGGTAATTTTCTTGTCTACCCCCTGTCAGGTGCCAAAGTCTATTCCACAGTGTTTCTGTTCTCGTTTTTCATTTTCTCTTGGCTGATCGACAAAGTGCAAATTTGAGACTATAAAGAAAATTTCTAGCTCCTGCCCGGAACAAGCCTATCTCATTTTGAGGCTTCACTGACATTCTCCCCCACCCCCTGTGAAGCCACACCCACCTCAACCCAAGTATAGCACCAGGTCCGTTCCAACACGCTGGATGGAGGTTTCCAGAGCTCCAAGCCTCAGAGTTCACTGTGATGTTGCCAGTCTTGCTGCTTTTCTTCCCAAAGTGAAGGAGTCAAGGTGGACCTGGCCAGCCAGGCCAAAGTCAGAAGCAGAAGGCTGAGCCTGTGTCCCCTTCCGTCTTCCTGGACCACGTTGCTCGGAGATCACCCTGTGTTGAAGTCCACTCGTTCTGTGAGCTGACACCTGGCCCTGGCTTTAACATCCTAGCCTCTGGGGGACTTTATTTTAGTGTCTTCCTGTGGGTTTGGCCTGAAATGGCTTCTTGAGGGCTTAAGGTCTGTTTGGTTCCCTCGTCTCCCTTCCTAGGACCTCCTTCCTATGTCACTTTAGGGTGAGGTGACCCTGACTCTCGGAAGTGCACCTTCCATTCGTTTCTCCTGGAGGCCCTTGGCACCTCTGCAGTACAGTATGGGGACATGGCTGAGGGAGGATGGTGGGCATCTCTAATGGCTAACACAATAGATCACACCGTTTAACAAATGCTTCCCTGATTCATTACTTCTAGACCAGGGAGGAACGTTGTAGAGGGTGTCCCCTGAGAGGGTGTGATTAGGAAAAGGCAATCTTTAAGATCCCTAATTTCAATCCCTGAAATTCTTTTTACCTTTTTCCTTTCTTTTTTTGAAGTTTTTAAATTTGTTCTTTTTAACTATACGTGACAATAGAATGTATTTTGACATATTATACACACATGGAGTATAACTTCCCATTTTTGTGGTTGTACATGATGTGGAGTTACACTGGTCGTGTACTCATATATGAACATAGGAAAGTAATGTCTGATTTATTCTACTATCTTTTCCATTCCCATCTCCCTCCCCTTCCCCCCAACCTCCCTTTTAATCTGGTGGAACACACCCCCCCATCTCTTATGAGTTAGCATCCACATATCAGAACATCCACTCTTTGGTTTTTGAGGATTGGCTTATTTTGCTTAGCATGATAGTGTCCAGTTCCATCCATTTACTGGCAAATGCTATCATTTCATTCTTCTTTATGGCTGAGTAATATTCCATTGTGTATATGTACCACATTTATGTGTTGAAGGGCATCTAGGTTGGTTTCATAACTTAGCTATTATGAATTGAGCTGCTATAAACATTGATGTGGCTGTGTTACTGTAGTATGCTGATTTTAAGTCCTTTGGGTATATATCTATGAGTGGGATAACTGGGTCAACTGGTGGTTCCCTTCCAAGTTTTCTGAGGAAACTCCATACAGCTTTCCAGAGTGGTTGCACCAATTGCAGTCCCACCAGCAACGTATGAGTGTACCTTTTCCCCCCACATCCTTGCCAACATTTATTGTTACTTGTATTCTTGATAATTGCCATTCTGACTAGAGTGAGATGAAATCTCAGTGTAGTTTTAATTTGTATTTCTGTAAATGCTAGAGATGGTGAACATTTTTTCATATTATTTATTGACCAGTTGTATTTTTTTTTCTGTGAAGTGTCTGTTCAGTTCCTTAGCCCATTTATTGATTGGGTTATTATTATTATTATTTTTTTGGTGTTAAGTATATGAGTTCTTTATATATCTTGGAGATTAATGTTCTGAGGTGCAGGTGGCAAAGATTTTGTTCCATTCTGTTGGCTCTCTATTCATTCTTGATTGTTTCCTTTGCTGAGAAGAAGCCTTTTAGTTTGATACCATCCCATTTATTGATTCTTGATTTTACTTCTTATGCTTTAGAAGCCTTGTTGAAGAATTCAGTTTGTAAGCTGACATGATGGAGAATTGGACCTACATTTTCTTCTAGCAGGTGCAGGGTCTCTGGTCTAATGCCTAGATCCTTGATCCACTTTGATTTGGGTTTTGTGCAGGGTGAAACTTAGAGGTCTAATTTCATTTTGTTACATATGTATTTCCAGTTTTCCCAGCGCCATTTGTTGAAGAGGCTATCTTTTCTCCAATGTATGTTTATGGTGCCTTTGTCTAGTAGGAGATAACTGTATTTATGTGGGTTTGTCTCTGTATCTTCTATTCTGCACTATTGGTCTTCATATCTGTTTTTGTGTCAATACCATGCCATTTTTGTTACTATAGCTTTGTAGTATAGTTTATGGTCTGGTATTGTGATGCCTCCTGCTTCTCTTGTCTTAGTACGGATTGCTTTGGCTATTCTGGGCCTCTTGTTTTTCCAAGTGAGTTTCGTGATTGTCAAGCCCTGAAATTCTTATTCTGTGGATTCAGATAGATCCCCCTCTTTACTCATTTTACCACTGCTCTGAATGCAGACTTGTGAACTGAACTGGGAGGTTTAACTGGGCATCATCATTCAGTAGGTCATGGCCGTCCAGTCTGAGTGGTGGCTGCTCAGCTCTGGGCCACCCATCCTTTGACACACTTTCCCCAAGCTCACACTCGGTCCAGCACTGTGCTAGGCAGTTCACCTTTATACACCATTGGGACCTTAGAGCTGTCCTGCAAAATCCTGGGTCACCTCCCCGGCTCTCCCCAGATGAGGAAATGGAAGCCGAGAGGTTTAGTAAGCAGCTTGGTTGGGGCCAGTCTCCCATGAGCTTGCCCTGGGATCCAGAATCGGGGCATGCTGAGGAGCCCATTGAATCAAATGGCTAAGCCCCCAAACCCCCAAAGACACCGAACAAGCCCAAATCACCTGGTTTCTTGCTGGATCCCTGAGGGCTGCTGCTCAGTCACACGGATACCTTGATCAGATCTGAGGCCACTTAGGAACTTTAATATGGGTGGGCTCAATTCTGGGCATGAGGCTGACCTCTGGTGGTCACTCTGTTAATTGATTTGCTCAGATCATTTATTATTTAAGGGAAGGAAAGTAAATAAATAAATAAAAAGTCCTGGCTCTAATTGTCAATTGTTGGGGGAAAGAGAATTGAATAAGATAGTCTCTGCCCTGAGGGAGCTCACAGTCCGGCAGGGGAGACGGTTCCAGAACAGGGTGAAAAGTGTAAAGCCAAGTAGAAGTATAGGGGCCAGAAGGTCATGAGAAAAAAATACTATTCATTAAGCACCCAATGATTAGGCTATCCCAATTAATACCCCACTAGCCTCAAGACACATAGGACTATCACTCTACATTTGGAGAACATCAAGCCCTGGAGATGTTTAGCTGGTAACTGGACCAGAACTCCATTCCGGGTCTTTTGCTCCTCTCTATTGCAGCCACAGATTGTCCCCATAGACTTGGGTAGAAGCAGTCTGTGTGCAGGGGCTGGGAACAGAGCCTTGACATAGTTGAGAGTCTCAAGCCACAGGGATCTGTCCATGAGTGAGGAAGACCTTCAAAGGAGACGGAGTCATGTTATAAGCCCCTTTGAAGGCCTCTAGCATATCCTCACCTTGCCTAACCAGAGAGGTGGACAGAGTAAGTGTCCAGGGTCATAAGTCCAGGTAGGACCAGAACATGGCATGAATCACAGGCCTCTTGGCTCCTAACCAAGAATTCTCCCCATGTGTAATAGGTGCCATAACAGATGAACCCCCTGCCCCTTTGAGGGTTCAACACGTCCATGGCTCTTTGTTGATACCCTAATGCAGGAATCTGTTCACACTGCAGTTTTCTAACAGGTTCAGGGGCACAGCTTAACTTCCATCTTGTGGCTGCGCCCTCTACACTGGGTCTTAACCATCTGTATGTGGCATGATCCTAGGAGAAGCTAATAAAAATGATACTTCTTCACCAGACAAAAATGTACATGTGCACATGCACCCCAAATTTTGTACACTTTCAAGGATTTCACAGAACCCGTGAATTCACATCTAGAATTCCAAGCAACCTTTGGGGTTAAGAGGTTAAAAACTTCTCCTTAGGGCCACAGAGACCCATGTCAGCTGGGAGATGGGGAGGAAGGTACAGAAAAGGCACAGTGACTTCTTAGAAGCCATAACCTCTGAACTCCACACCTTAACTGACATTTCAGTGGCAAAAATGACGTGACCCAATGTCCTTGGCACCTGACAATGCGACGCTGTGGAGGGGTTCAGGTTGTAGGGGACAGCACACTGACGGCTCTGCTGCCTGTGGCCACTCTAGGCAGGTGTGTGGGACGGTGACGGGATTCTCTCAGGACGTATTCACAGTCAGTCCTGTCGTGAGCCATTTGATACCCAGCCTTACCCATGATGCTCCTTTCTCCTCCTTTCT